GGAGGCCTCACATTTGCGATGGGCACCTCGCATTTGCGAGGTAATGCTGGCCTGGGCTCTTTCGCATTTGCGACATAGCCTTCGCATTTGCGAAGCCTGCAGGCCTGCAATATACCAGTTAAAATCAGCAACATCCTAAGTCCGAATTTCACCCCGTGGCCTATCCAAAACTCACTCGAGCCCTCGGGGCTCCAAACCAAACATGCACACCAACCTAGAAACATCATACGGACTTGCTCGTGCATTCAAATTACCAACATAACATCAACAACTATGAATTTAACATCAAAATCATGAAATCACTTAAGAACATCAAATTTTTTAATTTTTCTCAAATAAGGCCCGATTCACGTCATTTCAAATCCGTTTCTTACCAAATTTCGCAAACTTAACTTAAACCACATATAAGACCTGTACCGGGCTCCGGAACCAAAATACGGGCCCGATACCATCGAATTTCAAACACATTTCATTTTCAAAAACTCATATATTTTTCAGAAAATAATTTTTTTTAAAAATTCATTTCTCGGGCTTGGGACCTCGGAATTCGATTCCGGGCATACGCGCAAGTCCCATATTTTCTTACGGACCTACCGGGATCGTCGCAACACGGATCCGGGTTCGGTTGCTCAAAATGTTGATCGAAGTCAACTTAAATTTATTTTAAAGGCAAAATTCATTATTTTTCACAGTTTTTTTTCATATAATGGCTTTCCGGCTACGCGTCCGGACTGTGCACGCAAATCGAGGTGAAATAAAAAGGAGGTTTTTAGGCCTCGGACACTGAATTGGTTTCTAAAACAAGTGATGACCTTTTGGGTCATCACATGAATAAAATCTTAGATTCATGAAATTTAGACCATTATAGGTTAGAATCACTTACCCCAATGTTGCTCCTTCAAATCCTTTGAAAAATCGCCTCTCTCCTGAGTTCCTCAAGCCCAAAATCGGAAAATGAAGAACAAACCTCGAGCTGGGATTTTCTGTCTAGCAAAACCTCACTTGCGGTCAAATACCTGCTTCTGCGGCACCGCACCTGCGAAATTTTCATCACATGTGCGGAACCCACTTAATGAACCACTTTCCGCATCTGCGGTCACACCATCGCACCTGCGGTGCGCACCTGCGACTCATCTTCCGCTTCTGCGGAACGGACCAAACTCCACGGCGCCCGCATCTGCGGCTCCCAGCTCGCTCATGCAACCTCGCACCTACGGTACCCAATCCGCAGGTGCGGATATGACAGAAGTAGCAAATGTTCAGCAGCACCAACTCAATGCCAATCCTTCCGTCAACCACCCAAATTCATCCCGAGGCCCTCGGGACCTCAACCAAACATGCCAACAAGTCACATAACACCATTAAACTTATTCAAACCTTCAGAACACTCAAGACAATATCAAAACACCAAATCACCCTCGGATTCAAGCCTAAGGATTTTCAAACTTCCGAATCCGCAAATGATGCCGAAACCTATCAAACTTCGTCCGAATGACCTAAAATTTTACACACACATTATAATTGACACTACGGACCTACTCAAATTTCCGAAATTCTATTCAGACCCCGATATCAAAATTTCCACTACCGACCGGGAAATGCCAAATTTTTAATTTCGCCAATCCAAGCTTAATTCTACCACGGACCTCCAAATCACATTCCGGACGCGCTCCCAAGTCCAATATCACCTACCGAATATAACCAAATCATAAAAATCCAAATTCGAGATCAAATACTAAAAAATCAAAACTTGGTCAAACTTTTCAAATTTAAAGCTTCAAGCTGAGAATCATTCTTCCATATCTGTTCCGATTAACTGAAAACCAAAGTCGACGATTTACATAAGTCGTAATACATCATACGGGGCTAGTCATGCCCGAGAATTGGCGAGCGAAGTGCAAATGCTCAAAACGACCGATCGAATCGTTACATTAAGCCTTTCTCACTTTTTGAATTAAGAGAAGCCTTCTCAATTCTTTTAACCAAAATAAAATAAGGTGCATAAACCTTAAATATTGCCACCATCTCCTTAAGCATAAGGATTGGTGGCAATTTGCTGCCATATGCCCATAGCTCCACGTGAATTGTTGTCCCTTTAATAGTTATACAAAATTCCACTTAAACAATTATCCACAAATTCCTAATCAATTTGTTAACTTCCGACTCAAATTAATAATTAATCAATTATCCATATAATTAAGAATTATATCAAATTACTTAAAATACTACTTACTTTTTAACACACTCTATACACTTTACTATCATAGTCATGTGGTACCTTCTACGACACTAGTCCATAAATACGGGGTATTATAGCTCGGACCGTATTTTATCCCAAATTGACAAACTTCAACGAAACTCATTTTCTTCGATCCGTTTACCCTTTCACCTTCACAAATTTACTTATCCGTTGTTTAAAATAGCATGATACTTATAATCTCCAAATAATCTCATTCTCGAACTTACGTCGATTAACTTACGACGAAATTTTGATGTACAAAAAATGCGGGATGTAACATCTCATTCGAGCTTTCATCAATTAATTTATGGCGTACTTTCACGTACGAAAATATGGGGTGTAACAAATTACACCCCTGACAAAAAGATTAATCGTCTGCAACCTCATTCGGCAAAAAAAATCTCCTCCTCTCCTCTCAGCAGCTTTATCAAAAACCCAGAAATTTATCCAGAATCATCTTTAGAATCACACGTGCATGAAGTTATTTCACCTTGAAGCTAAAACTGCATGCTAATGTAGCATGAAGTTGTTTCATGTTGAAGCTAAAACTTCATGCTAATGGATGCTGAAGTTATTTATCCTGCAGTCTATAGTTTTGTCGTGAGTTTTATCCGAAACTTCAGTCTAAACATGCTGAAGTTATTTAGTTCATTTGCTAAAACTTCAGTTTAAACATGCTGAAGTTATTTAATTCATTTGAGAAAACATCAGACTAAACATGCTTAAACTTTTTAGTTCATTTGCTAAAACTTCAGACTAAACATGCTTAAGTTTTTGTCTTGCAGTATGTAATTTGCTAATGCATGCTGAAGTTATTTAGTTTATTTGCTAAAACTTTAGACTAAACTTGCTTAAGTATTTAGTTCATTTTGCTAAAACTTCAGACTAAACATGCTTAAGTTTTTGTCTTGTAGTATGTAATTTTCTAATGAGTTTTTGTTAATGCATGCTGAAATTATTTAGTTCATTTTGCTAAAACTTCACACCAAAACGTGCTGAAGTTTTGTCCTGCAGTCTACAGTTTTGTCATGAGTTTTATCCGAAATTTCAGTCTAAACAAGCTGAAGTTTTTTAGTTCATTTGCTAAAACTTCAGACTAAACATGCTCAACTTTTTGTCTTGCAGTATGTAATTTTCTAATGAGTTTTTTCTAATGCATGTTGAAGTTATTTAGTTCATTTGCTAAAACTTCATACCAAAACATGCTGAAGTTTTGTCCTGCAGTCTACAGTTTAGTCAAATAGTCCTGAAGGGAAAAAATCGTCTTTTTAAAACGCTTTTAACAAAAAAATGGGTACGGATGCAAATGAAAAAACAAAACGGGTATAAGTTAAAAAGAGGTAAAAACATAATTAGTCAATTTTTAAGAAAAAAATTCAGAGTCCTAGCAGGAATAAGTAATTAACAAAAGTGGCAGCTAATTATTTACATTCCTAACATAAATATAATCAATTAATTAATGGACCTCTCAATCGCTCCCATGTTCGTTGCTTATTTTTAGTGAAAGTCCTAAAAATGCCAAAAGGTAATTAATGTGATACGTTACTCCATTTAGTTGATTTATAGGGAACAAGATTGTACAACCATTAGACCACATTACTGTTCATTTTCTATTGCCTTTTTTCTTTTTCCTTTTTGGTTTTTTCCTTTTAATTTATCTTTTTTTTAAATGAAGAAAAACGACGATTTTCAAATATGGGAACATGATGGGAGGTTTTCTTTACATGTTTATTTATTTATATATATATATATATATATATATATATATATATATATATATATATATATATATATATATATATATATATATATAGTAAAGTGAAGAAAACAAGAGGAGAGAGACGATGAAATTAGGATATAACATAAGAGGAAATAGTGTAACTTATTCCATGATTTGTACCTCATTAATTGTGTGCATAACTTATACGATATGCTAATATTGTAAAAAAATCTGTCTAAACAACAAATGATATTATTTTCTTAAATATTCTTAAACAAATGCTCAGCCGTGTAACTTTCTCAATTAAAAATGGGCGACCAAATAGGGCGTCCCATGCAATTTAACAAATCACATGGACCTCCGTTAGAAAGTCCAATGACTACGAGCCCATATATATCAACTAGGGCTGTGCATAATTTGGTAAATACCGAATTACCATACCGAAATCGAAAATTTTGGTATTTGGTATACGGTATTTTGGTATTTGGTTTAAGTTTTTAAAAAGATTGGTATTAGGTATGGTATTTGGTATTTTAAAATAAAATACCGAAATACCGATACCGTACCGAAATATATATTATATTACACAAAACATATATTATCAATTATAACATAAATATAAAAAATCTAAAATTTTACTTTCCTTTATTCTCTAAGTTCATCAATTAACTCTAAACAAGTAACAAGACATTTCTAACGATCAAATATTTTTTTATGTACAATTTTCTCTATTTGGGTCGATATTTGCTAGTTTTGGACAAATTTTTTGTCAACAAACATTTTCGGTTTTCTATTTTTGAGTATTTTAATTAAGAATATTAGAGTTTATGGCTCAATGCACTAGTTAGTATTCAAACCGAATAAATCGAAGTTACCGAACCGAATAAACCGAAACCGAAAGGAGAAAAACCGAACCATACCGAATTTAATTAGGTGCGGTATTGGTATTGAATTTTAAAAAACCAAATAACGAAAATACCGAACCAAAATGTCTAGATACCGTACCGTACCGACCGACGAACACCCCAATCAACTGCAAATAAAGTAGGCCTAGTGATTTAGGATTCAGGTCCACAATCCTTAGGTGAGGAGCACTACACTGTATTCGCACCAACTGCACCTACCGTTCTCAGTGCGCATCTTCAAAAAAAGGATTCGAGCAAGACAACCTTAAATTACATAAAAAGATTTGATTTTTCTCGGAGGTTTGTGAAATTCAAGAAAATTAAGGTTTTAATGGAGGGGCTGATGAGTTTTCAAGCGAACTCTGTTCGTTCTGTCTCTAGACAGCAAAGTTCGGTACTAGTTCCTACATTCTCTTCAAAAATTACTAGTACAAGAGTTTCTGTTCAGCCAATTGGAATGGTGAGAAATTCCAGATTGTTTAATTCATTTGTTGCTTCAGTTCAGCCCGTTGAAGCCTCTGCTGTTACGCCTTTTGACAACACATTACCATCTAAAGGTAAACATCAGGATCTGATATCATTCTTGCTGGGACTAATATTTATTATGTATGTGTAAGTTAGTGAAAAATCTGAATCATGTTTTCAAAACTTTAGCATCTGTCGCATCTTGTTATGGATTGGTTATTTTCTAAATTTCTCTATTCCGGGAGGAGCCAAACGGGCGTGTCTGAATCTTGTCTTCAAAACTATAAAATCTGTCGTCTTTGTTATGGAGTCATTCCCATAATTTTGCTAATCATGCTTGTAAATGAAATTGGCCTGATAGAAATATAGAGAATTCAAGTTATGAAAAAGAAATATAGAGAATTCATGTAGCTGACTTAAACTAGTTTGGAATTGAGACGAAGCTAATTGATTGATGATCAGTAAAATGAGATATGGATTGAGTTTTATTATGGAGGGAATTGATTATGACTATGTAGCAAACTGACGGTTTTCTGAATTATGTTAGAGGTTCTTGATGTTTGGCAAAATTCGAATGCTGTATGCTTTGATGTGGATAGCACTGTGTGCATAGACGAGGGCATAGATGAATTTGCAGAATTTTGTGGGGCTGGAAAGGCTGTAGCAGAATGGACTGCTAGGTTAGCTGCCTTTTTAAAATGTAGCAGATAATGGTTATAATCTAATACTAAATGCTATTGGATTTCATATCGCATTTATCTTGACTTTGACAGGGCAATGAATGGCTCTGTTCCTTTCGAAGATGCATTGGCAGCTCGTCTGTCGCTTATCAACCCTTCATTGTCCCAACTCCAGGACTTTCTTAAGAGACCTCCACGGTAACAATGTGCACCTATGGTACATAAGGTTTCCATTTCTATGAACTATTTTTACCATCAAGACAACGAAATATTGAGTCATTCGAATTTTCACCTTTTATGGAAAATTGAACAGTTACATTTAAGGAGTGGATTTGCTTTATAGGTATAGACTATAGAGTGTTACTATCTGCTATTCCCCTTAATTAGGGGCCTTGATCATATCTGCCAATTTAGTTATTTGAAAAGACCTTTGACTGAGCATGCTATATGGTCATGGTTGTCAATTTTTTTTCCCCGTTGAATTCTTAAAACCTTTCTTGTGTTGATGTTCAGACTTCAGATGTTATAGCTGTCTGGACTCATTATTTCTGCAACTTGACTCATTACAGACATGTTGTAATTAACACAAAAACTATCAGTTGATAGGTTCTCCAAAGCAATCAATACATTAGGATTAAAATGCTGTTTTTTTTTTATGAAGTAATCAAATTGCATTAGTTAAGGCATCAAGAAGATGCAGAATTACAAAGAAGAAGGAATAGCTCCAGTACAAACCAGGGGTTAGTTGTTCTTTCCTAACCTCGGGGAGCTCTAGCCCTCTTTATTAATTATCCTAAGAGTTAAGTCTTACAGTTCAGACAACAGCAGTAGTAGTATTAAAAACTCAACCACCCTTCAGGATCTTTCAAGGATTAGCAAATTTTAAGAGAGGCCGTGGCCCCTGCCAGCTCTTTCTTCACTATGGCATTACAAAGGAAAAGAGATGGCTTGGCTAGAAGAGCCACTTAAGCTTTCATCATTATAAAATTGTTGAAAAGTGACATAACCAGTTTTTATTATAAGCCTGTGATAGAGATAGACCATAACATAAGCTTGGGTCTGGGCTCAGCCTTTGTTATATAAAAGTTTTGCCCTAAAACTATAAGAGATGGCTTGAATTCTTCGCTCGTGTTCATGCCCACAAGTTGCCTGATACAACTATAGCAGACCCATTGATTCTGATTTAAGGCTATATTATCCATCTAGGTTGTCTGAATCAGATGTCAGTGCCCAGTATTTGAAATGGTGGAGAAAAGAAGTATTATTTCTAGCTGTTGCATTCAAAGGAATGTTGCGTGGACTAAGGAGTAAAAGAAGATCAAGATGGCTTTCTAGCCTTTATGTTCCTCCTGCTTTTGCTCCTAAGTTAAAACATGTGAAAGTAGCAACTGACTGTAACTTAAAAAAAAGTAAAAATGGAGAATTACCCTGATTTCCACCCAAATGTGGTGAGGTAAATGACAAGAAGAATATATCGATGGTGGAAAAGAAAGTAAAAGTGGAGAATTACCCTGATGTTCCCCCTGGTTTTCCACCCAAATGCAGTGAAGTAAATGAGAAGAAGAATATTTCTATGGGGATTTCACAAACAATGGATTTCAACATTGCGCCTCCTGATTCAATGGAGAAGAATACTGCAGAAGAAAGAAGTTACACATTCCCTGACTATGCACATGACAGGAACAAGACTAATAGTGTAGCTCAAAATCTGATTACCAGCAAGCAGAAAACTGGGGAAAGAACTAGTTGTGTTGATATTAACTTGCCTAGTTTAAAGGATTTAGAAGCTCATCTTTGCCGGGTTGAGCGACTAGTTGCTTCACACAAGAGTAGCTAGATTTAATATACTTAATACAATTTCAAATGCATATTTCTTTTTCTTTTGTGTGGTTTACTTGCTCCAGGGTGTATTCTTCGTTTTCCTGATTGGTTACAGCTAATTGGTTCCTCCAAATTTCATATCTTATTCCTTCAGTCATCTGTTAGTTTGTGAATAACAAGGATATACAGCTTTGCGTAATTGACTTTCAGTATATCTATGTCCCCAAAGAAAACGCAAATCAAATAAAGAAAATAAAAAATTAGAGGGGGGTCAAACTTCCCGACAAGGAATATCGCTACCTTAGGACCGTTATAGTTACTGTTGCCGTTCACCGGGGCTTCGGTCGCCAGGGCCTGGAGGACTGACAGGGCGCACTGTTCCAAATGTTCCTGAAAATTCTTGCTCCCATTGGACCATTTGTATCTGTGCACTCAGCATACCGTGTCTCCCTGCTTGGCATAGCTATAAATTCATCGATAACAATTCTAAAGGAAATCCCATACAATTTATAAATTTTTCAAGTGAAAAGACAATTTCTTTTTGTATTAAGCAAAACGCTATATGATAATCTGGCTAATCCTTCAATCCCTAAAATTGCCAGACAATTCAACTTTGTTATGGTGTCTCTTTGAAGCTAGTTGGTTGTTTTTCTTAATCAGCTTGGGTTGTTGAAATCTTCTCAAAAATAATCTTGCTTAATCCATTGATGCCAAATAAATCAACTAGTGTCTGGTGTCCCTTTGAAGCTCGTTGATTGATTACTTTATAAAGCTTAGGCTACTGAATCTTTTTTGGTTGTGATTGGTGCAGACTTTCTCCTGGCATTGATCTATTGGTCAAGAAACTGAAGGATAAAAAGAAAGATGTTTATCTGGTCTCAGGCGGGTTTCGTCAAATGATCAATGTATTTCCCTTGTTGAAATGTTTATTTTATGGTTAGTTTTATTTGTTCATCTTGCACCTGATATAAACCTATCAAAGATATGCTGTTGTGATTTTGCACTTCTTATAATATTCGGAAGTTTCAAACTTTCCAAGCGAGTTTTAAGCATCATTCTGGATAATTTTTCTATTCTTGACTGCTGTTACTAATTTCCAAGTTTTAATTTGCAAAGTGCTTTACTGGGAACAGTTAAAATTGGCCGGTCATCTGCTAGTTGCCCAATTATTTGGTGCAGTTATTTAGGTGAAAAATGTGCTTTGATAACTGTACTTTGATTGGTCATCATTCTATCTCCATATCAAATGTCTCTCTTTTTTTTTAAAGTTGTGCTGATCCCACAATGTGGTGTATTATCTCTATTTTTTCTAACCATAACTCTTTCCTGAAGCCTGTCGCATCAATCCTTGGTATACCACTTGAAAATATTTTTGCCAATCAAATGCTCTTTGGGAGTAATGGAGAATTTGCTGGGTTCGATAAAAATGAGCCAACTTCAAGGAGTGGCGGGAAACCTACTGCCGTTCAACAAATAAAAAAGGTTGGTGTTGGAACAACTGGTGATGTAGTTGTTTATTTTAAGACGTCTTTTTAAAGATTGCTCTAATCTTTCAGGCTCGTGGATACAAATCAGTAGTGATGATTGGTGATGGTGCTACTGATCTTGAGGTAAGTAACCAGTTGCGCTTGTCTCCTGTTTGACCACCAACTCCAATCACCCAAAGGGTAAAAAATGGGTGATGGATGGAGTGATATATCTATTTTTTGTTTGAAAATCTACAAAAACAAACTTTGCAAACTCAGTTTTTGAGTTTTTTTTGCAAACCTTGTTAGTTTGAGTTGTTTTCGCCAAGACAGAAAAAGGAGTTAGTGATTTTTTAAAGATTTTCAAACAACACAAACAAACAGAGTTAGCAAAAACTCAAATTATTTGGGTAAACTGTGTGTTTGAAATGTTGAAAGCAACACTGTCAAACGTGTTTGCACTTGTTTATACTATTTTGTGAATTGTTTGCGGACTCTGAATCATATATCTCTTGACAGCATTTGCATTTCTCTGTAATTTTTGTTGCAGGCTCGTATGCCAGGTGGTGCGGACTTGTTTATTTGCTATGGAGGAGTTCAACTACGAGAACCAGTTGCAGCCAAAGCTGATTGGCTGGTGTTTAATTTTAAGGACTTGATTAACTCATTGGAGTAATGTGCTATCGGATCTTCACTCTTCCATCAGTATTTCGCGTCTTGACTCTTCCATCAAATATTTCTTCCTCGGGGCTTTATGCAGCTTTGTAGTTCTGTTCTTGATGTCATTTATTTTCCTCTTAAATTTTGCTATGAGGTATTGTGAAAAAATTTGAAATCTTGGAAACTGACTTCATTATGATTGGGAGCTAAACCGTCGTCTTGTTACTGCATTTCTAGAGAACTTATTGCATTGTCACCAGCCAGAAGGAATGGCGTTCACCAATAGAAGAAGCTATCTTTAATATAACAACCGTCTTCCTCGTCTTGTATTGTATTTTTGATCTTTGGCTTGATGTATAGCGAGTGTTCGGTTGAATATGATTCACTGTTACCTTTCTGGGCTGGTTTTATGTCTTGGCTTGCATGACAATGACAATATATGAAACAAGAGCAAAAGAATCATTTTGTATAAAAAGATACACATATTATATTTAAATTTAATGGTCAAAAAGCCTGATTCTTTTATGAACTATTTCATACTTGTTTGCTCAAAAGTTATCGTGTGCTTTATGAGTGCAAAACAATACAAATAAGTTATGGGAAAATCATAGCAAATCGTAATAATCCATTGGACCAAGCGAAGAACATAAAAATAAGTACTCAAGGTTAGGAGAAGAAATCTTAACAGCTTTTATTGACAATATTGGTTTGGTCTGCCTCTCCATGAAGAGGTTCAGAGCCTTACAGTGGTGTTTTCTCTTCCCATAAGATGGGTATATTTTTCTCTTCTCTCTCTTCTCAATATAGGTGAAGAAGCAGCCTCCCTTCTAGGGCGTGAGCTGGCAATAAATGGCCGTAGCCACGCTGAGGTTCCGTCCCCATGGGGAATGACTGGGCCGTGCCCTCGTAGATTAAATCCCATACCACTTATTAATTATGGATTAGCTCAAGACGAGATTAACTCCGTTAATTACCGTGAGATCGGATTCTGACCCATACAATACTTTTGGTTCATACATGTATAATACTTGAATACTGGTCACTGGCAAGTGCTCAGTAGTTTCAATTCTTTTTATATATTTAATTATTTGTAAGAAAATAAAATTGAGACCGCATAACAGGAGAACAAAAAGGACCAGCGCCCCTCCTAGCTTGACATATTACCAACCTCAACTAAATCTAACTCAGGATTTATCTAAATGGGAATTGAAGTATTGAACATCTGATTATCAGATATTATGTCGCAAATTCGATGAGCTTCAGTAAGTTTTGAACAACCTAGATTTGTTAATTTTGTTTTTGAATCTTATAACTGAAAATGCAGAACATGAGAACAGAAAGTACCAAAGAGTCTTTCACTCAAAAGGCCCGAAGAGAAACTGATAAAACAGCATAAAACATAGAAAGGCAAAAAGAAGGAAAGAGTAAGATAAAAGATTTGAACAGAACCTCAGTACAAAAACAGGAATATTATTACATTAGCGGTTAATAGGCCAAATAAGGAGACATGAAGGAAGAACAACTTTACATCTTCAGTACGCAATCCATAGAGTAGTTGCTACATTTACAGATAAACTTATATGGGCGTCTAACCGGTTATCTCAATGGACTTGACATCAGGCTTCTTCACCTCTTCTTTCGGAACAGTAACAGTAAGCACTCCATTCTCCATCGCCGCTTTAACTTGATCCATTTTTGCATTCTCCGGGAGCCTGAATCTTCTCATGAATTTGCCGCTGCTGCGTTCCACACGGTGCCAAGTATCATTCTTGTCCTCTTTCTCCACGTTCCTCTCTCCGCTGATTTGAAGAACCCTATCGTCTTCGATCTCCACTTTCACTTCCTCCTTCTTAATCCCAGGGAGATCTGCCTTAAACACATGGGCCTCCGGAGTTTCCTTCCAATCGACTCGTGTGTTGGCAAATGCAGAGGTCTCCCCTGAATTGGAACCTGGAAAGCCCAATTCCCTGAACGGATCCCATACGTCAATTGAGAATGGATCGAAGACGCTGCTTCGTCGATCGCCGAAGATTCTTGGAATCAGTGACATTTTCCGTGAGCTTTTTGAGAATTTTCTGAATTTGCTTTCAGGTTTCAAGTTCGTTGGTTCAAGGAAGAGGAGCTGGGTAGGTATTTATATTGTCGTAGAGGAGTGTTTAGTGCTTTCTCGATACTTCTAGGAATCCGTACCGATATTTCTGCCCAAGTAGATATTCTGGAACGTAGATAAGTAGACGTCGACTGTCAGAACTTTCTGGACCAATCTCGTTAAGCCCATACAAAAACAATCAAATGCGCTACAAAATTGGGTTAGCTTCTCTGGCTACAGTACCTTCCATTAGCGGCCCAAATTCATTAGTCGTCATCTATGCGAAACGTATAGATATAAATTATACCTTATAGGCATAATAATTTATGAACAAATTACTATTCTAAGTCAAAAAGTAGCGATATGTAACATGTTATAAAAATATAGTGAAGTACTTAAAAAGAAATTTTAACCATAATGTTTGGTTCAAAAGTTATCGATATACTTTGCAAGCTTAAAAACAATCAAAAGTAAGAAAGGGTAAATCGTAATCAAATATAATAGACCTAGAGATGAAAAATGAAGTTGTTGTTGTAGATCTAATAGTGATAATATGAACTCAAGAGAAAGTATTCGTTAGAGATAGCGATAGAGAGAGAATATGAGAAAATGAGAGAGTTGTATTATTTCAGAATCCTCCTCCTTTTACAATGCGAAGGTCTCCCTTATATAATAAGAGACTTTCCTCGAAATAATCAAAAAGTTACAAAAATAGGTAACATTTTCCTAGTGAAGACACTGAGTCCTAAACGATGTCGCTTTTGTCCCCACGTCCGAGTCGTACCCTTACGTTAGTCGGCGTATACTCACTGGGCGTACCCATTGGCGTAGAGACGCTGACGGTCAAATTTGACCCTATACAGTTAGTCCTCCCGCTCGTTGGAGACGCATTCGATGGGCGTCTTCAATGGGCGGAAATACAAACCTCGGCTTACGAGAATTTGACCTCGACCAGGGGCGGCAACATGAATGAGGTATGTATGACGTTGTTGAGCCACTGACGCGTGGCTTTCTTTTTGGAATGACGTCATCGCCTGTATGCGTCATTATTATATTTTCCCCCGAGGCGGTTCAGAGGATGATGTGACATTTTGGTTTCCCACGCACGTTTTGAATCATGACTCTTCGATTTCTGCGCAACTTATCCCTATAAATAGGAGAGAGGTTCGATTCGATTTAACTTTCAAACCTTCGGAAAGCATTTTCTGATTTACTCCTTTGTCTTTCTTTCCTGTAACCGTTATTTCGTGTGGGATTCGTCCACTTCTTTTGGAGTCATATTTCTCGTCGTTAGTGCATTATTTCCCAAAAAGAAACATCATGGTAAAACGTAATCAAGGCGGCAAAAAGACCAAGGACACTGACCCATCTAGGGTTCCGCCTTCCTCTGGCGGTGAGGGGGAGGAAGTAAAAAAGACCCTCGTTCCCCTTTCTGTAGACAACGTCCTCCCAAAGGACATGCATATTCGAAGGGATTTTCAAACGAAAAGTCCAGCCCTTCCCTGGGAGCGTAGCGATTTACTGCAATCTCATCTAGACGACCTTCGAGTGACACACAACATTCCGGACCATGTGAAAATAGCTCCGGCTGGGATGGATTACGCCAATGTGCACAGGCCTGGGTACTGCACATTTTATGAGTACCCGTTTTTGATCGGCTATAGTCTCCCGATCTTCCCTCTAGCGGAGGTGCTTTGCCGCTTTTACAATGTGTACCCGGCTCAGCTTACTCCTTACACCTTGAAGGTGTGCAGGATTCTGACCACGTACACGGCTAAGGCTGAGTGCGGCGTCTCAGTTCACCATCTCCTACAGTTATTCAGCCCTGGTTACTTGAGGGGTACCATGTTGCAATTGAAAAGACGTGGTACGAAGGGTTTGGTAGTTAGGGCTGACGACAAGGCCAACCGCCTCTTCTGGCGTAGGTACTTCTACATCAGGACGGAGCACCTAGTGTCTAAGCCTGAAGGATTCCCGGAAAGGTGGAACCCAGATCGTGAGTACCTTTATTTGCAGGATTCATGACTGTTCGCGACCTTGGCCATTTGGCCACTGTGATTTCATTCTTTTCTCTTCTTTTTTTTTTGTAGCGAGGGCTTCTCCACCCCAGTTTATTGATGATATTAAATCATGGGTGGAAAGATTACTACCTTATGCGGAGGAATGCCGTACTTGGGCTGCATTTCTTCAACAGTACGGCCCGTCAGGTAATTCCTCGGCCTTGGTTTGGAAACTCCCTTAGATTCTGTTACCTAACCTACTCGTGTTGGCAGGTCGGAGCGCCCCCAAGAAGAAGAAGGCCGTTGTTGCCTCGCCTAGGGCGGAGACCGACTATGATGGCGAAGACATACCCTGCGGCTCGTTCGGCGATGGCGCTCCCGAGGTTCCTCAGCAGGAGGTTGCGCCTATGGCGGCGTCTGCAAGTGAAGCGACTCCTTCAGTGTCGTCCCCGCGGCTTACGGAGGAGACTTCCGAAGGTGAGGAGCTGCCAGAGAGAAAGAGGCGGCGGTTGATAACGGGCAAGGGGATAGCGATTGAAGACGAGAGGGTAAGTGAACCTCGTCAAGTATCGAGGCCGATTTTTATGGTCGATGCTATCCGTTCTAGGAGGTCGGCTCCACAAAGGAGAGCTGTTGCCGATACCAGCCCAACCCGTGTTCCGGAGAGCGGTTCGTCGGCCGCTATTGAAGAAGTGGGCGATGGTGTCGCGAGGGCGGATACTGAGGCCGCCCGTGGAGATGCAGATGGGTTGACGAGGGGTCCAGCCCACGTAGAGATGACGGCGGGTAGGTCTAACCGCCAAATTATGATCCCAGGAGGGTATAACCTGTTGCAACACAGCGAGCAGGCTGCAGCGGATATGACCCTGTTATGTGCGGCCGTTGAGCGTGAAATGTTGGAGGGTGTTAGCGACGGGGATCTATCACGGAGGGTCACTGGCGCAGCCTTGCAGGTAGCTTTCAGTTTTCTCTGTGTGTCGTAGGGCTAACTGTGATGCGTACTGACCTGCCTTTTCTCGTTTTTCTCCTTTTTTAGACTCTCATTTTGGAGGTGGAGAGGAGGCGGCGGGCGCACAAGAAGGCACCCACTTTCAACAAGATGGCGAAGAAATACCAACGGTGCCGTACCAAGCATCGGGCGCTGGCGGACCTGCTCAAGCAGGACCGGGAATTTCGAGTGTTTCGTGAGGGGCTCGAACAGTCGGAGGCCCAATTGAAACGGAGGGTGGCCGAGCTGGAGCAGGTCGACGAGCAGCTGATGACTGCTCTGGCTCGAAACATTGAGCTGGAGACTCTTCTTCAGTCCAAGGAAGAAGAGTTGGAGGTTTGCCGTGGGGTAGCGGCGGAAGCTGCTGATTTGCGGATCAAGGTCGCCGCTTTGATCGCTGAACTCGATGCCAAGGCGGCTGAGATTGAAGTCCTTAAGCGGACTGCTGCACCAAGGCCTAATGAGGATACGCATCGTGAGGCGCATGATATGTGGGTGTACGCCGAGGCCAGATTGGTCGTATTCGAGGAGTTCTTAGCTGCGGGTCGAGCCACTGAGGCGGAGGTTCAGGAGCAACGTCGCATAGCCCGCGTTGCCCGTGAAACTTGTGGGTATAGTTCTGATTCCCCAGACCGGGCGGGCTATAACTCTGAAGACGTCAACCGTCTAGAATCCGGCTCTTGGATCTCTGAAGCTTATCAACCCGGGGGCGGCGATGAACAAGATGTAGGTCAGGCGGGGGACGAAGAGCAGAATGGCGGTCACGCTGGGGGCGACGGGCGAAGCCTCTTAGGACTTGTATATATTTTATTTTGTTGTATTTTGGAATGTAAATGGGACCTTTTGTAAGGTCAGGTGTACATGCATTTTTTGAATGATAATGAAAGTCGTACTTTTGCTGCCATTCTTTTCCTTTTGTATCTTTTATTTTTGGTACCTCGTCTCCGCAGAGCGGATGCTCATTTGTAGGATTTTCAGTGTGTTTCTCGAACGTTGTCTGTGTTATCCGCCGATAGGATGCGGCTTTGACGCTAAATAGTGGTGGCTTTAGCTAATAATGGCATCACTTCAATTGTTAGTTGAGTGCTTTCGTCGTAGTCGGACAGGATTGGCGACTGTTAGGTCCAATTGGCCTTAGTCATAATACTGTCGATGGCCTTAGCCATGTACGTAACTTCGACTGTCGTCGAATTACTTGTTTGTAGTGGTCGAGCTGGGTCGATTTATTGACGACAATGGTCTTAGCCATAATACTGTCGATGGCCTTAGCCATGTACGTAACTTCGATTGTCGTCGAATTACTTGTTTGTCGTAGTCGAACTGGGTCGACTTGTTGACGACAATGGTCTTAGCCATAATACTATCGATGGCCTTATCCATGTACGTAACTTCGACTGTCGTCGAATTACTTGTTTGTCGTAGTCGAGCTGGGTCGACTTGTTGACGACGATGGCCTTAGCCATAATACTATCGATGGCCTTAGCCATGTACGTAACTTCGACTGTCGTCGAATTACTTGTTTGTCGTAGTCGAGCTGGGTCGACTTGTTGACGACGATGGCCTTAGCCATAATACTGTCGATGGCCTTAGCCATGTACGTAACTTCGACTGTCGTCGAATTACTTGTTTGTCGTAGTCGAGCTGGGTCGACTTGTTGACGACGGTGGCCTTAGCCATAATACTGTCGATGGCCTTAGCCATGTACGTAACTTTGACTGTCGTCGAATTACTTGTTTGTTGCAGTCGAGCTGGGTCGACTTGTTGACGACGATGGCCTTAGCCGTTTATACATTGGAGATGGCCTTAGCCGTTCATACATTGGAGATGGCCTTAGCCGTTTATACATTGGAGATGGCCTTAGTCGTTCATACATTGGAGATGGCCTTAGCCGTTAAAAATACATTGGAGATCATGCTAGTTCAGTCCCTTTGTCATGTCAGTCAGGAGACCATCTCGGACTGTTGACTCGCATTCTTGCCGCGAGCTTCTTTTGTTGCTGACTTGCATTGCATTCTGAAATGTTTTGCCCTTTTTCCGAGTGATGCTTGACCGCTGAACTTGAATGTGTTCCTCTGTTCTTCAGGCAGGCTCCTGACTGCTGACTTGAAATATATGCCT